ACCAGACACAGTGAAAACCGACAACGCACCACCGTTTAATGGTGCAGAATTCTCATCGTTTGCAGAAGAGTTGGGATTTCATCATCGACGTATTACACCGTTGTGGCCACAGGCAAATGGAGAAGCTGAACGATTCATGAGAACACTAAATAAGACAATCCGAGTGTCGAACATCGAAGGTCGAAATTGGAAGTGCGATTTAGTTCGATTTCTTCGTCAATATCGAGCGACGCCGCACTCGAGCATTGGAATGTCACCAGCAGAAGCCCTCAACAACCGAAAGATGAAGGTACAACTACCAGAAACTAACCTTCTGGCAGACAGGAAAGCTCGAGATATTCATGCAGTCGATAAGCGGAGGAAGGACAAGATGAAGTCCTATGCTGACTACAAACGCCATGCAAGAGAGAGTAGGATTCAAATTGGTGATACGGTCATAGTGAAGCAGCAAAGGTCGAATAAGCTGTCTACACCGTACGATCCACAACCATACAAGGTGCAGAATCGAAAAGGGAGCATGGTAACAGCTAAGCGGGGAGATCATGAGATAACACGCAATCTATCGAAGTTCAAATGCGTACATCCAGTCGCGAATGGAGAAGAAATGGATGATGAAGCAATGGTGGAGTTACCATTGGACGAACCACACGATGCTCTACGCGACAACGCAGAGGGGAACGTCAGACGTTCTACACGTACCAAGCAAGGGCCTGTGCGTTTCAAAGAGTTTGTTATGCATATTTAGATTCGTGGTAACTTACAGACGACGTTAGGAGCTGTAGGTTAAAACATAGCTGTTTGTTAAAGAAATGGATTTCATATTGTGACTTACTACTAGTGTAGAGATTACTGTTTTCAAATGTTTAACTGATGAACAAGTTTGGTTAATGCATAAAGGTTTACATTCGAAGTCCAGTTTAGCCGATGTGTCTATAATATACAGATACTGAAAATGAGTCTAAAGTTGACGCAGACGAATATAATTTTTAATCCAACTAGAGGAGGAATGTAGTGTAGTTAGTATGTTATGCTTTACTTTCTGTATTCGTTTACGAACACGTGATCTATGACACTATTGTATATGCAACACGTGACGGTGGGAATAAAACATATGGGGTCTTTGAGCCTGTGTGATGAACAGAAACATACGTGTTTACTTGAGTGTTCAGAGGCAAGAGCTCACAACACTATACCACTGGCAGCAAGAACAAGTCCGCACCTGCAGCTACAGCACACACGCATCTATTAACTATATATAACAACGTTATATATAGTTGTCATAGTAGTTATAGTTGTTATAGTAGCTATAGTTGTTATAGTAGTTATATATAACTATATATAATGTTGTTATATATAGTCAATAGATGCGTGTGTGTTGTAGCTGCAGGTGCGGACTTGTTCTTGCTGCCAGTGATTCGACCAGGCCCTCCGGACCCTCCTCTCGGACTCGGGGGGTGCGGACTCGGACTCGGACTCGGACTCGGGGGGGGGGTGCGGACTCGACTACAACACTGGTAGGGCCCGTCCTGGTATTAGTATTAACTAACTGGTAAGTCAACTTAGTCAGCAAGAAAAGCTCGAACAAACAAGCGAAATTACTCATTTTCCGACCTCGCAAATGTTCGATCTGTATGCAATAACTTACGATTCTCTATCGCTGCCGTAGTTAGCAAAAACTGACATTTAGTACAAGCACAAGAATGCCAACATAAACATGGCTAAAAGATGCAAGATAATTTCCGGTCAGGTACGATCGCACTCTTACCGCTAGATGGCATTAGTACGTCCGCTTCCGTCGTAATAATTAAAACTTGAGACATGGTAAGTAAATTTTCCTTAAAAAGTAAAATACTATCTCACGTGACACATTGTAGAATTTGTTACACTAACATTATATATCCTTTAGCATGTATCGGTCAACAAAATTAGTTGCCTGGCGTACTGACAATGCAGAAAGGAAGCGCTATTCGATATGGCACACCCCACCTACACTACTGTCACTAGATACAATAATGTAAGTTGTAACCCAAACCCAGGAGGATAGGGTTACAAAGCGTCGCTATGGTTTTCTGTGGAGGAAATTCAGGGAACCCCTGAGTGAATCACTCAGGGCGGTTTGCTGGTGCGTTTTCAGAGACTAGAACTTTCAAACTGGGTTTATTCTCAACACGAATCTTTCTCCGCTATCTTGAAACTTACTATGTATCATAATAGATTAATACTCTGTATTAAACTAATAATATAACCTGTTACAAAAATTCTAAGTGACGAGCAGCGGATGTTTCGAGCGCCATTTCTGTTGACCTGTGACGTACGCATTCCCAATGCGCATGGCGATCGGCAAACGCAGCGCCCTCCGATTGGTCGGTGAATCCGCTCTTCAAACCAAAGTACGTCACAGGTCAACAGAAATGGCGCTCGGTATATTCGCCGCTCGTCACTTCGAATTTTTGTAACAGGTTATATTAGTTTAATACAGAGTATTATGATACATAGTAAGTTTCAAAATAGCGGAGAAAGGTTCGTGTTTAGAATAAGTTCTAGTCTCTGAAAACGCACCAGCAAACCGCCCTGAGTGATTCACTCAGGCGTTCCTCCGCACAAAAACATACGGACGCTTTGTAACCCTATCCTCCTTGGTTTGGGTTACATTATTGTATCTACACCTACACCTACGTTTTCAACTTTAATCTTGTTGATATTGACTAGTCTATTTATCACAGTATCAGTACCCCATGAACCATGCCTCAACAAAGCTGCTTGATAAGCACATATTTATGATTCTAGATATCTGTCTATCTATCAATTTTTCCATCCGTCTCTCCACCCATCTTTCTCTCTCGCAATAAACTATGAGTCTTAGGAAGTTAGTCCAGTTAGGGCACTTAGGACGTGGATATTCGTCCGAGCATGGGATACATGTTCGTATGCGCTATTCGTCCGAGCAGTTGTTGCGCATGCGCTGTTCATGTTGTATTACATAAATGTAATATAATGCTAGTCTAGGGAGTCGCCTACTCCCTAACCACGCATACTCTCTAACCCTAACCCCAACCCTAACCCTAACCCTAACCCTAACACTAACTATAAACCGACTCGGCCCTCTTGTAAGTTATATACGCGAGTCATAGCACCAAACAGTGAAACACTATATGGTGTATAACCACAAAGTGACATACCGTACGCATGGCATTTTGGGAAACTACCACTCTGCTTTCCAACTCCAGGATTCTCCCTACGTTTCGCAAACGGGGCGCGCCCGCCCTGTTTGGGAAAACTCCCCCCCCCCCCGTTTCAATCGTTGCGCCACGTTTAAATTATTTCCGCCCCGTTTAAAAAAAAAAAGATTATAATTTTTTTAATGGGAATGGCTACATGAGGAACAGGCTGAGTGAGTCAGCTTTGGAGGCGCTCCTGCTACTGGCAATTGAGGGGCCACCTCGGCAAGAATTCCCATTCAACCCACTTGTAGTGTAGTTAGTATGTTATGCTTTACTTTCTGTATTCGTTTACGAACACGTGATCTATGACACTATTGTATATGCAACACGTGACGGTGGGAATAAAACATACGGGGTCTTTGAGCCTGTGTGATGAACAGAAACATACGTGTTTACTTGAGTGTTCAGATGAATGTTCCCCCTTCTTTTACACCTCTTGACCTTTGACCTTTGACCCCCAGCTTCGACATCCCAACTCGTTTTGACGATCCCCCCCGATGTGCCGAGTATCGTGACCGTACGTCGAGCGGTTAAGGTTTGTGCCCAACTGTTGACGAACGAACGGACGGACGGACAGACGATCATGCGATTCTACAAGCTGCATCTGACTATGTCAGATGAGCTAAAAATCAATGGAAATGAAAGCGTAAGAGGGGTATTTCGATTAATATTATACTTTGAACACAAAGCCAAGGGCCAAGTGAAGGATTTGTGTGATACTGAGATACAACATACATGTTCACGGCTAGTATAAATATTTCAATACTCATTATGTAAGATGCACTTACCCTGAGCTGTTGAACGGAAATTTTCCTTTCTGAAAATAAAAACACCAACATTTATTTTATGGTCTCAAAGGAAAGAAAGCCCCTCTTTCTATGATGATTATAGCAGTGATTCATAGTGCATTGCAATGAATTAAACGAGACTCTGCCTCTGTGAAAACTTGCATAACACCTCTACACTCAATGAAGCAATCTTCCTTTAATCCAATTTCCACGAGGATTTCAACCATCTACATTCAGGGAGCACCCCCTGTGGTAATAACTGCATTTTCAAATTAGCCCATCGATGAACGAGCATTTTTGTTTCATGTAGCAACACATACTTACTCGCTTGTATCTATTCACTGGCTGGCTGGCATCAGAATCTGTGTCAGATACATGGCCTGCCCCTCTTTTTAAATAACCAGGAATATTCTGGAATGAGGCAAATGCAATGATTTACACAACGACTATGCATGTGTGGGGAATGCCCGCTCGCAAGTAGCTGCCACCACATTCCACATCCACTTTTGTTATTTGAGTCAAATAGGCTATGCTGAAAGTGTCATCGCTTGAAACTGGTAAAAAATTAATTACTAAGTACTATAGTATTTCAGTAAGATGTGGCTTATAGCAGGGTTTCTTATACATAAGATGCACAGTGGCGCACCGCCGTTGTCAAATTTAACATCGCGGTTGTGAAAATGTTCCTGTATTCATTCATAGGTATATCCTGTATCTATATACCTATAAGTATATCAATACCTCCTGTATTTGAATCCATCATGCGCGTTTTTTCCCCAAACTGGCCATTACCTCCTTTGTCTAATTTTCCCTCAGAAGAAACCCTGTTATAATATATATATATATATATATCAAGAGTACATAATAGGAGAAGAGTATGACATCGTTTTAACAGCGTTTTGCATAGTTTTCAACTTGTAAATATTCTATCAATATGTGAATAAATATATTCAAACTTTACCTTATTTTCATCTATGAATCTCCCTTAATCATATGACACCACCAATTTACCTGAAAATCGTATGTGTTAATCAAAAAAGCTCTTTGAATACGACACGGTTTCAAACAGTTTCCACGAATGGCAGCATGTGTTAGGCGAAAGTTCGACCAAAGTTGATATGCGGCGGCAGCACCAGGTTGTAATCAAGATACAAGATAGAGACAATAGAACAGTAATCCCATACTAAACTTTCGCCTAACACATGCTGCCATTCGTAGAAACTGTTTGAAACCGTGTCGTATTCAAAGAACTTTTTTGAAGAACACATACGATTTTCAGGTAAATTGGTGGTGTCATATGATTAAGGGAGACTCATAGACGAAAATAAGGTATGTTTGAATATATTTATTCACATATTGATAGAATATTTACAAATTGAAAACTATGCAAAACGCTGTTAAAACGGTATCATACTCTTCTCCTATTATGTACTCTTGATATATATATATATACACATAATATCAAGAGTATGGCATGGTTTTAACAGCGTTTTGCATAGTTTTAAACTTGTAAATATTCTATCAATATGTGAATAAATATATTCAAACTTTACCTTGTTTTCGTCTATGATTCTCCCTTAATCATATGACACCATAAATTTACCTGAAAATCGTATGTGTTCTTCAAAAAAGTTATTTGAATACGACACGGTTTCGCACAGTTTTCACGCATGGATGCATGTTTTATACCAAACTTTGATATGGGATTAGTGTTCTATTGTCTACGACGGTACGCTGGGGGCCGTAAGGGAATCAGCTGCTAGCTAGTTGGCCGTGAGCACATTTATTTTTAGCACGCTGGAAACGCTGCACGCTGAATACAATTCGATGCCTAACATCCCTTACGGCCCCCAAAGTTCCGTCATAGACAATAGAACACTAATCCCAATGGAAAGTTTAAAACTATGTAAAACGCTGTTAAAACCATGCCATACTCTTCTCTATTACGTACTCTTGATAATATATATGTATATCTAGGTTGAGTTAATAATAGTTTTTATGGTTAGTGGCAGTCGCTACCACCAATTGTTGGTATGCGGCATAGATATAATTGTATTGCTACCAATAATGTAAAATGGTATGCACACACGCATACACATGCACACACACACACACACACACACACACACACATATGTGCGCACGCACACACACATATACCTTGTTGATAAGTCGCTGCATTCTGAAGCCCGTAATGCTTTCTGTGTCGGATACGTCTGCCACCGGTGTGCTGCTGCGCGTGGGGGAGGAGTAGAGCTTCTTAGCCTGCAAGTAGAAGAACCAGCTTCACTGAAGAAGTCAGAGATCAACGCACTTCCACCACGTCCCGCAGTAAACACACGCTACATGAGCGGGAAACAGGGCGACCGTGGTCTTCGGTTTGGCATGAAATTGAATGCGATTGCTTGATAAAATGCGCAATTGATGAAACGTGAGCTCACACGTGAATATCACTGCCAGGATGTTACACTGAATATAGCATATTGCATTTAGCATCTCACTGTACAGAACAAGAGGCACAACTTCAAAAGGATGAAGTAGCAAGACACATGTTAGCGGGTAAATAAATTCGAATTAATAGCATGCATTGATTATAATACAAATCGTTTACCTACCTCTTCTAGCACCTGTCTGCAGACTGTCTGAATGTGATCCTCTGATACGGCATCATCACCATTGTTCTTCTTGATGTTGGCAAAACAGGGGCTGAAGTATTTCTGCAGACGAACAACAGTACAATGCATCACCCACAGTCGCACCACTTACCATCAAAAACACATCACCAAGATAATACACTCCCTGGCAGTTACAATGGTTATAAGATTTGCCTAATCGCCAACAAAATTACCACGCCAGCAGAATGAAGGGTAAAATATGTGCAGACGGGCAAGACGTTTAAGTTATGACGCCAAAATGACTAAGAGCGAATGTTTGCATGCAACGTGGGTGATGCATCTGGTATACTCACATCTAGATATTTCTGCAGCACTGCATCTATCTCCTGGCTAATGCTATTCTGTAGATTCTGCCTCAGGAGGTCCAGAGTCTTTGCTGCACTTGTTATTGAACCGATTCTAAATAACGAGGAATTTGTGACATGTAGTGCATCTTAGTGTCTCAACATTTAACGAGTGCCCAGAATTAGGATACACAACACGATGCCGACAAGATCACGACGTCGTTGGAATGAAGGAAGAGCGAACAACGGTTGGAACGAGGAGAAAAAGAAAATGGAAACATGCGAGTAGATTTCTCAGCAAGGTACTCACTTTGCTCGGTGTAGAGCCATCAGGTGGGTCCTGCTGTTGGTTCTATTTGTCATTGCGGACGACGGAAAACAGTTCAACGTGTTGAGCCTCATGTTGAAGGGATTCACCTGACGGAAGAACGGAACCAAATAGTTGATTTAAAATATTTTCTGTTTACAGTAAATGACTCAGCATGTGACAAATCTATTGCCACATATTGGCTCAAAAATCTGTGCTTTTTAATGCAAAACTTATTTATGTTCCTCTTACCAATTGCACAATGTCCTCTTGCTCCTCCTCCCCTTCTTGCTGTGGTCCAGATGGCAGGGCTACATTCTCAGGGAGCAGGCGTGGCAACCTGTCGGCTGGTGCCATCATCCTAAAGGCACCCCCTGGTGGCAGACTATGAGAGAAATGCACCAGTCATATCGCATTAGGTCAACTGGTAAATATTAATAATATTACAAATAAGAGAGATGAAGATAAATCGGTAAAGGGCAGGTGAACATATAATCAGATGGAGAGGCGGACGGGTCGGTGGTTGGGTGGGTTTGGGGCGCCTTGTATGCTCTTTGTGTATGGTTGGTACAGGCTTTCATTTTTAAGGGGCGCGATCGCGCTCGCGCTCCACCGCGCACCATAAATTGTGCCATGGTGCGTGCATCATCGCGCCTCATAAAAGTGGTTGAAATCGCGCACCAAAAGTCTGTGTATTATGTTGAAATAGCGCTCAGTGGTTGAAATCGCGCACCAAAAGTCTGTGTATTATGTTGAAATAGCGCTCCATTTTACCGGGATGAGAATCTTCCGCGGATCCGCGGAAATCCGCGGATTTCACAGTCCCAGGGTCAATTTTGTGAAACGTCTAAATCCGTTGAGAGAAAATTTTAGGGGGGTTAGAATCTACAAATTTTTATTTTACAGTCCAACAGCCTACTAACAGTACCTTCATTTAATACCATTGTAATATAGTTTGCTTTACAATATAGACACGGCTTAGTTCACTGTTTGAGATTGTCAGACGTTAGCCAGTGTGTGCGTTTATTTGACGCTGCAAGTGTGTGTGGTTGTGTATGCCGCGCGTGCTAGGCAGGCCGTATATATAGTACGCGATCGATCGATCGTGTACATCAAAAGCCACGCGTGACGCGGCGGAAAACTAGCCTCAAGGCCCTGCCCATAGAGTTCGATCCATTGCCGAGCCCTGACTGGTTGGGCTAGAATAGATACTAAACTATAGCAGTAGCCAATGAGAATGCAGCTTTCATACATCCTTCGTCGTATTTTAAAACAATGGCAGATCTTTTAAGGGTGTGATTTTTAGTAGAGCTCTCCATCATGCCTCTTAAGGGTGTGATTTTTTAATGGAGCTTGCCATCATGCCTCTTAAGGGTGTGATTATGGAGCGTGAAAAATCCCCCTATGGTGTTCTATGGGAGTCATCAGTAGTCCTCCTGTACTTTTCAAATCTGAAAGCCTGAGCCACTAATGAAATCCACAATCGTATAAAGTAGTACCTTGACCGTCGTCTGCTGCAGCGTCTGCTATTGTCATCATCACTAACCCTAACCCGTTCTTAGCTTCGGTCGATCTCTCAATGAAATCCACAATCGTATAAAGTAGTACCTTGACCGTCGTCTGCCGGCGCGCTATCGTCATCATCACTAACCCTAACCCGTTCTTAGCTTCGGTCGATCTCTCAATGAAATCCACAATCATATAAAGTGTGTCCTTCACCATCGTCTGCCGCAGCGTCTGCTATCGTCATCATCACGGCTGCATGCGAGACATGATATCGCTGAGCGAGCCGCGTGAGTGGCTGCCATGCGGTCGCCACGTGGTGGCGCTGCATCCCAGCAAACACGAGTCGTCGTCGTCGTCGGGGGCGACGAGCGACGCTCACGGACGCACGCCGGGGCGACGCACGCAGCGAGTGAACGAACAACAGGTACGTGTGTCGTTCGTTAATTGTTGTTGTTGTTGTTGTTGTTATTGTATACCCCGCGACGAAGTCGGCGGGGATACTATGGTTTCATGTCTCCCCAGCTGCCGCCG